CCTGCTGCTCCTGCTGCTGCTGCTGCTGCTGCAGCAGCAGCAGCTTGCCCTGAGCTACTGCAATGAGGGTTAAGAAGGCCTTTGCTGCACCCCACAGCAGCACGCGCTGTACATGCGGCCGCAACGAGGGATCCACTGACTGCAGCAGCAGCAGCAGCAGCAGCAGCAGCAGCAGCAGATAGTAGCAGTTAGCAGCAGCAGCAGCAGTAACAGCAACAGCAGAAACAGCTACAGTGGAAGCTGTGTGATCGCTGCCTCGTATAAAATTTTTATTCATCTTGGATGAGCTAGGGTTTAGGGTTTAGGGTTTAGGGTTTTAGGGTTTAGGGTTTTAGGGTTTAGGGTTTTAGGGTTTAGGGTTTAAGGTTTATTGCCTGGGGTTTAGGGTTTAGGGTTTAGGGTTTTTCTGACGACTGTGGTGAGGCAAGTGCTGCTAGGGTTTAGGGTTTAGGGTTTATCTAGGGTTTAGGGTTTAGGGTTTAGGGTTTATCTAGGGTTTAGGGTTTAGGGTTTAGGGTTTAGGGTTTGTCTAGGGTTTAGGGTTTAGGGTTTATACTAGCGTGGTGAGGCAGCAGATGGATTCTTCTATAAACTGCACAGCAGCAGCAGCAGAAGCAGCACCAATAGACAGCTGACGATGATACTCTCCTGCGAAAACAGCAGCAGCAGCAGCAGCAGCAGCAGCAGCAGTAGTAGTAGTAGCAGCAGCAGCAGCAGCAGTAGTAGCAGCAGCAGAAGCAGCAGCAAACGCAAAAAAAAACAGCAAACATATAATTGCTGCAGCTGTTGCTGCTGTTGTTCCTGTTGTCGTGCTGCTGCTGCTGCTGCTGCTGCTCGTCCCGCTGCTGCTGCTGCTGCTGCTGCTGCTGCTGCTGCTGCTGCTGCTACTTGCCTTTCAGGGCCAAGCAAGCAGCAAAGGACACAAAGAAGAAGAGACAGAAATAAACAAATAAATAAAATAAATAAGTAAAATAAAAAATAAAATAAATAAACAGATAAAATAAATGAAACAAATAAATAAATAAATAGACAGAGAGCTGCATGTACACCCCAAAACTTGCCTATAATCCATCCAGCTGCGCGGATGACATCGGGGTGTATGTACACCTGGCTCGGTGTGCTGCTGCTGCTGCTGCTGCTGCTGCTGCTGCTGCTGTTGGTGGGGTTGTTGTTATGCATGCTAGTGCATGCATCATCAAGCGAGTTGCTGCTGATGTGGTTTTCTCTTTGCTGCTGCCGCAGGGCCCTTAAGACCTCCAAGCTGTTGCTGCTGCTGCTGCTGCTGCTGCTGTTGCTGCTGCTGCTGCTGCTGCTTTGAAGCCTTGACTTTGCTGCTGCTGCTGCTGCTGCTGCTGCTGCTGCCTCCAGCAGCAGCATGCACAGGTGTGTGCTGCAGGGCCGCACCTCAGGGACACGCACAGAAATATCTAGCAGCTGCTGAGCAACAGCAGCAGCAACTGCTGCATCCCCGCTGCTGCTGCTGCTGCTGCTCCTGCTGCTGCTGCTGCTGCTGCTGCTGCTGCTTCTGCAGCCGTTGCATGCAATGTCCACCAGCACCGCCACATACCACTCAAAATCCTCTATCAACTCGTAGTCATTCCTGCAGCAGCAGCAGCAGCAGCAGCAACAGCAGCAGCAGCAGCAGCAGCAGCAACATCAGCAGCAGCAGCAG